CTGCTGCTGATGATGGTGCTGATACAGCTGCTGATGCTGCTGCTGCTGATCGTGAGTTTGCTGCTGTTGCTGCTGCTGCAGATGTGTCCTGGTCTGGGTGAGGAGACAGTTGAGACCCGCGTGCTGCCGTTGCTGCTGCACATCCACTCTGCTGCTGCTGGCGCTAGCAGAGAGGAAAGAACTGCAGCAGCTGCTTCAATGTTCGACTTGGCAAAGGTGCTGCTGCTCTCTGTTGCTGCTGCTGCTGCTGCTGCTCTTTGCTGCTGCACTTTGCCGCTGCTGCTCCTCCTTGCTGCTGCTGCTGCTGCTGCTGCCGCCGCCCAGTGTGCTGCGTCCCCTCCTGCTGCTGTTCCTGCTGCTTCCCATGCTGCTGTGGCGTGACAGCCGCTGCTGCTACTGCCGCTGCTGCAGCTGTTGCTGCCGCTGCTGCTGCTGCTGCTGTTGCTGCTGCTGCTGCTGCTAAGGGCAGTGCTTTTTTGCTGCATTTGGGGTGTATGCACAGTCGGTGTCTGCTGGCGTACGGCTCACAGCGCTGCTGCCAGCCTTACTGGAGACCCTCAAGGATCCGCAACCGTAAGAGTTGCTGCTGTTGCTGCTGCTGCTGCTGCTGCTGCTGCTGGATTGGCTGCTAGGCGTGCTGCTGCTCCTGCTGCTGCTTGGACTTTCCTTGCAGCTACTGGCTGTCTCAGGCTGTCCCTCTTGCAGCAGCTTCTGCTGCTGCTGCTGCTGCTGCTGCGGAGGGTTGCTGGGGTTTAATGACTGCCCAGCACCAGCAGCAGCAACAAAGACAGCACATCTAAGTATAGGGTTACCTATGGGCTCGAGGGCGTAGGGTTTAGGGTTTAGGGTTTAGGGTTTGCTGCTGCTATGCCTGCAGTTGCGTCCGCCTGGCAGCGAAGCAGCAAGTTTGCTTCTTCTTAACATCTGTTGCTGAGTTCTTTTCTCCTGCTGCTTCTTTTGCCGCGCTGCAGCAGCATCAGCAGCAGCAGCAGCAGCAGCAAGCAAGTCTGCATCAGGGCAGCCAGAAAGGGGATAAACATCGCTGTGAGCAGCAGAAGAAGCAGCAGCAGAAGCAACAGCAGCAGCAGCAGAAGCAGGAAGCACAACTGCAGCAAGGCGAGCAGCAGCAGCAGCAGGAGCTGCAGCAACAGCAGCAGCTGGAAGGCGAACACTGCCTCTCAGAAGCAGCAAGCCCGCATTGTGCTAGTGACAGTGACAGCAACAGCAGCAGCAACAGCAGCAGCAACGGCGAACAAACTAGCGGAGAAGCAGCAGGGGGGATGAGTGATACAGCAGCAGCAGCAACACCAGCAGCAACAGCAGCAACAGCAGTAGCAACAGCAGCGGGGCCTCCCCCACAAGATTTGCCGCAAGCGAACGACGGAGCTGAGGAAGACAGCACAGCAGCAGCAGCAGCAGCAGCAGCAGATCGTTTGAAGCTGCTGCTGCATGCATATTGCAGCTTGACGGAGTCGGAGGCAGCAGAAGAAGAAGCAGCAAACCTGGGGCCCTTCTCCTTTGGGGGTGCTGCACAAGGTGTTGCAGGTGAGCATACACCCCAACAAGCAGACAGCAACACGGCTGCTGCTGCTGAGGCTGCGCCATCTGCTGCTGCTGCTGTTGCTGCTGTAGGAGTTGTTGGTTCTCACAATCGAGATTGCTGTCGTTGCTGCTGCTTTTGCTGCTGCAGCTGCAGATGCGGCAGCCGGTCGTTTGTGTTTTCTTCTCTTATGGAGATTGCATTTGCTGCTGCTGCTACTGCTGCTGCTACTGTTGCTACTGCTGCTGCTGCTGCTGCAGGGGAGGGTTTATTTGCTGCTGGCGAAGCAGAGAGCTGCTACTGCAGCCTTTGTCAGTGGACAAGGAGACAGACAGCGGAGATAAGCACAGGATACAGCCCCACAGGAAGCGCAGCAGCAGCAGCAGCTGCAGCAGCAGAAATCGGCACAGGCATGCTGCTTCCGATGTCTGCTGCAGCCTGTGCTAGCTTCACCTTTGCTGCTGTTGCTGCTGCAGCAGGAGCAGCAAACTGGCCGCTGCTGCGAGGCTGCTTGAAAGACCTGCTGAAACACCCTTGCTTGGTGGTGAGCAGCAAATAGCAACAGCAGCAGCAACAGCAGCAGCAACAGAAGCAGCAACAGCAGCAGCAACAGCAGTAGCAGCAGCAGCAAAAGACAGGAAGTGCTGTAAGTTTGTTTGGTGCTGCAGGTGCGCAGGTCGCTAGCGGCTTCGTTATTTGCTGTTGCTGCTGCAGCACTACCACGGAATGGCTCATGCCTCTGCTGCAGCCAGCAGCAGCAGCAGCAAGAACAGCAGCAGCAGCAAGAGCAGCAGCAGCAGCAGCAAGGAGGCAGCAGCGACTGCAGCAAATGTGCAGAAGAGCGCTGCCGGCGAGAAGAGGAATTTGCAGATGCAGCGCGGCGTCTCCTAGATGATGAAAACGCTGTCAAGGTGAGGGTTTTAGGGTTTAGGGTTTAGGGTTTAGGGTTTGGGGTTCAGAGTTGTGGGCCTAGGCCATAAGGTTCACTTTTTCGGGCTTAGGGTTTAGGGTTTAGGGTTTAGGGTTTAGGAAAGGGCGGTGATTGACATCTTTCTGAAGGGAAGAGCTGAGGGTTTAGGGTTTAGGGTTTAGGGTTTAGGGTTTAGGGATCGTACCGAAGGGTTTGCGGTGTATGTACAGCACGCTGCAATAAAGACGGCGGGTTTGCTGGCGCAGCCACTTCCTTCTTCTTGCCGACGGGATATCGTTTGCGTAAGGAGAAATGAGGGTTTGGGGTTTAGGGTTTAGGGTTTAGGGTTTAAGGCTTAGGGCTTTGGGTTTAGGGTTTAGGGTTCAGGGTTTTCAAGCCCCTACTCTATGCGGATATTTCTGTCTGTTTGAAGGCTCATGGCGTCCTTATGCGTGTGCAGCCAGCGGTGTCTCGACTTAGGGTTTAGGGTTTAGGGTTTAGGGTTTAGGGTTTGCGGTTCAGAGTTTGGCGTCTGCCTGCGACTCTTCGGGGCATCAATTCTCTCTTCGGCTGATTGCAGCGCAGCAGCTGCCGCTGCTGTTTGAGTTAAGCGATGCTTCTTTGAAGGACCTTCTTCTCTCCCTTGCATTCGAGTCAGATACCTGCTGCTGCTCTTGCTGCTGCTGCTCTTGCTGCTGCTGCTGCTGCTGCTGCTGCTGCTGCTGC